TATATAATTCACGTAATTTATAGTGTTCCATTAAACGTACGAAAACTGAGAACGCCTCCTCTTCAGGCATCTGAAAGTCAATGAAAATACATCTGTCAATGACAGAAAACAATGATTAGCACTAGGCGAAGCAAACTGAAGAATTCGATATCTCCCATTTGCTATCACTACAAGATACATTATCGCTCTCGAAGTGAAATTCAATAAATTCATGAGAGGGACTGGATTTGCGAACGATCCTGCATACGAATTCATTGCTTCTTAATTTGGAAAGATCTCGACTCATCCCTTAGTTAGTCATCCAGTCATGAACACGTCCAACATCATTCTCATGCTTTAGCTCCCCTTCTCCTTTCCATAAGCGGATTGCTTGGTCAAAAAATACTCTTATCACATTTCACTGATAGTTTTAAACACTGTGTTGAAACTTTATTTTGTACTTCATGAACGCATCAATTTCAGCGAAATAACCCGTTCAAATACCTAACATCTGAGCGATCACAAAACCGACAAAACAAAAATATCGCTTCATTTGAGGAACGAGAACAAAGAATAATACCTGTAAGAGAAGCTGACCAACAATGAAAGCACTACCCTGACAATACCCAACTTCTTTGTCATGTACACTGTAAGCTTTTATCACATTGAAAAGTGACTGCTGCCCACGACCACCGTCTTTGAAAAACTCCAACTCCGGATAAGTACGCGGAATGTCTCGAAGAATCACCTTAATTAAAGCATCATCCATAGCGTTGCTAATCAACGAATGCGAATTGTAGGTTAAGTGTTTACTGAGAACAAACAAGTGAACAAATGAATATTTTAAAGGATCGTGTAGAACTTNAAATGATCTTAATAGAATTCTCTTGAGTAGGCCAATTGAAATTAGTTGTTTAAGGCATAGAAATAGTCCATGTTAAAGGATACAACGCCGCCAAAATATTAGCGTAAAAGTGTCAGCTAGAAAAATCGAGTTTGATAATATCCACCTTTTCGTGTGCAGACGACTGTCGTATACATTCAGAATAAATTTCGTGAACAGCCGAAACAGCTGCATTGCTCAGCAACTGCCATGCGATCGTTCGGAAATGTTGAGGAATCCCTCGTCTGGCCAAATCCTACAGAGACGACATCACTTACATTGTTTGTTTGGATAGAACACAATAACTCTCGTAAACGCTAAGGAACAATTTGAAATGTCGTGAAGAAAACGACAGGAGAAAACTAATTTGGTTATGTCAGAATTGTCACATAGTTGCAACGATAACAACTGAGTTGTTCATTCAGCTACAGTATACCTTAATATAATTTGGCCTTTTACGACTTTCACTTTCCCAGTTCTTCACAAGATCACCCCATACCGACCACAAGTCTAACTCTTCGTCTTCTTCTGGTTGTATACTATCTTGTGGAGACTTACTTGACCTGAAATGAGACGATNATAAAAGGAAAAATATTAGTTGAGAGTGTTCAGGTAACTGGTACCTCTAAATCTGGACTGCTTTGTCAGTCGGATGAATACTTTTCGTGGCAGCTATTTGAACATAGCCTGATGGCGATGCAACTGAAGTTGAATACTGCTATTCACAATGCTTACAGATGTTGGACAGTCGCATTTTCGAACTAAATGATTCCAAAAACAAAGTAAATCTGGAATAGTTTTCAGATTCCCGAAGAAGAAACATCTTCGAAAGATCGGAGCTCTGGTGAATTCGAAGACGAAACCAACAAAAAAACCTCGGACTAGCTGCGTCTAACTGTCCACCAGAACTGCTCGATCCACTTTTCCGAGAAGTCACTGATCGTGAATCCAATTCATTTGATCTAAATTAAATCCTTTGATCGATGAACTAATCATTTAAACAGCTTTAAATTGTTCACATACGAACTATTGTTTCAAATTCTATACATAACTGTTTCGTGCAATACGCCTCTTGTGCTGAAAAATCAAATGTACTGACTGACGTGGCGTGATGTTCAGTTCAGTTATATCGCGTCAACTTGATAATTTCTTATGACAACAGATACAGAATTTCATTCACATAGAATGAAAGTGCGTTGCTATTCTTCTAACGAGTTGAATGAACGAACACATGAGGCGATAACGGCTTATTGTGTAACTACAAATTTCTCACGCATGTGGTAAGAAATCATCAATGTTGAAGAGTGTTTCCAGTTTGGGGCAGAGGGAAGAACCGAATTTTCATCTGTGTCATTTCATCCTGTTCACATTGCATTCAAACTCTATTTGAGCTTCTCGCAAGAAAAGTCCTCCAATTATGGACCACTTCGGATGTTATTTTGAATGAGAAGACAGCGAAATTTAGTTGAGAGGAATCTTCATCGTGACGATTCGAAATAGGTTTGGATCCGAGATCAGTCTCAGAGACCCTGAGGTTAAGAATAGTAGT